CTTTTGTTCAGTAACCAATTAATGTTTACACAAGAATAGACTTACCAAAATATCAATGTAATTTTAATATAATAACTCAAGTTTAAAAGAATATTTAGTGTTAATTATTCTCAGTAAGATTTGACATGTTAATCTAGAAAAAAAAACAGAAAATAATAAAAATGTTGCTCACGTTTGATTTTTTGCTTGAACCATTCAAACTGGCTGATTACACTTAAAATGGTGATAAATAGTGAAAATTAAAATTAAATAATTTTTTTTGTAGTCGGTGTTATTTGGATTTTTGTTTTCTATTTAAAAAAAGAACATAATACAGCTAAAGTTACATTTTTGCATTTGTAAGAATAGTGGAAATCTTTCAAAAGTGTGGCGATTGTTAGTTGAAGGGCTTTGAAATCTTTTTTTTTCACCAAAAATGTAAAAGACATAAGTCTCCAAACTGATTTGTTCGTCATCTTCATTTTATTTTACTGCCAACTCAAAGAAAAAGCAGCAAATCTTCACTTCTAAGAAGCTGAAGTGAGGAAATGTGGCCTCTGGTGGTTTTATGTTTGTTTCATTAAGAACAGATCTAAAAGCAGGAAAAAAAGTGGTTTTAATGTGAATCAAGTGAGAACCTTAAACCTGCGCAAAAAATTCAGTTTATTATAATAAACAAGAACAAAAAAGTACAAATGTTGATGTTTGCAAAGCAAATCATGAGAGAAATCTGAAGAATCCTGTGGCTTTCAATCCCAACCAGAGACTGNTCAAACCTTAGTTTGTGGAAAACTTATAAGCATTTTTGTGATTTTGTTTGTCTTTAAGGTTAGTTAGCAGTGGGAGCCATTTTGAATTGAGTTGGCTCCATAGACTTGAATATAGATCACTAGACTGAGCCCTGCCCATACCATCCACTGGTAGTGTCTGTGACAGCATGGAGGAGAAAAACATGGCGTCTATAAGGGCAACAGCTTAGAGCCTCCATAGAAACTAATAGATAAACAACAAGCTGAACTGGAT